CAACCACTCGGGAAACCCCCTGAAGAGGTGGCACAAATACATCAATGAGTACCAATTGGCGGTAAGTACTAGCTGTATGCATATACAGGCCAGAATCGAAGAACTCGCACAGCTGCACCCCGCGTGTGGGAATACACCAGTAACATCACTAACATGGAATAGCTACACTGATTTGAGAGTGATTTTGGTATTCTTAACGTATATATAGCAAGAATTATAATGTAATTTTAATTTTAGATGGTGTGCGTTTATGTAAAAAGTAAGGGAATAAAAAGGAATGTCAGTAAGTTAAATATGAATAAAAATCTGAATATGAATGTTAAAAACATACATAGCCAAAACTGTGAAAATAGAACCGAGTCAAAACACTACTCGAATCGAGAGCATTTCCTGTTGTCAAAAATTTTTTCTGTGAGTTTTCTCTATGCAATTTGCCTAAAATATCTTAATACTCTATTAAATTGGAGGAAAAAATTGTTTATAGAGGAATTATCGCAAATTTCCTAACATTCGATACCACAGGGCATAGATTTTAGTGAAGCTTACGCATCTACCCCGCTAATTTACGGGTTCATTCACCCAAGGTCACTACTACTCTTATCATGCAATTTAGATTTTCGTCTTTCACAGACATTAAAATACTGATAAAATGAGTGTTCTGAATACTTTTATGATGCAACACTTTATCAGACTGAACGACAAATTTATCAGGCAAAGTGATAAACGGCTTTGGAAGCACACACACACGTGCAGACACACACGTACACAAATATACTCCTACATACACAAACATGCACATACATTTACAAGGAGGTCACTTTTACTATGTAATTATAGAGAAATATGTATGGAATGCAATTTAGTGTGGTGCACTGTTCGAATGTATTAACGCCTAATTAGAGAAATGTACAGTGGTCGGGCACTCTCTCATTTGAGCATCATTCCGGGGCTACCCCAATTCAATGCGCAAAATTGCTTCAGAAATTCGGGAAAAGGCTCGTTCTCGCAGTAAGAATTACGAAGAATTAAGACTGAGAGTTTCTGGACGAGCGGATATACGCTCATGCGGAAATTTACATAAGAAAAATAGGTAAAAGGACGCCAGAATCTAGGTTTCAGTGAACGAGGGAAATGTCCAAACACAAAGAAAATGCTCATTTTCATACAGAGTCCTCAAGAATCCATTTATCCTCCCTATAACTGAACTTTCATGGGATGAAGCTGCGAAGTGAAGCAGCAAGAAGCACTACTCCCATGCCAAATGCAGAGGTGATTCAATTCGACGAGAAACAAAGTCCATTTCTCAACAATTCGTCCTTTTTTCGACAATAAAATAGTGCTGGCATGTGCCGGGGAGTCAAAACTGCCATCAGCTTGCTTGTAAGCAACTTATCAGAGAGGGCCAATCACCGAAAGATTCATCGGAGAGCTACTGCTACTGGCAGAGAACTCTCACCTCTCAAAAGTTTGAATTACGAAAAAAGTCTTGATTTTTCGATGAAATTCAATGCACTTCTTGTCAAAGCAATTTTCTCTAAAATTCAGGCCTGTGAAGCAAAATTCTGTGCCCTTCAAGAAAGTCAACGCCCATAACAGAAACATGGAATTACTTAGTTTTGAACTATAAACACTTTCTGTCCATGTTCTGGCTGAGCTTTTCTTTACCTTTAAAAAATCCAGAACGAAATCCTACGAGGAATTAATGAAGGGTTTTAGATTTTATGGAAAAACTGAATCGTCGAAGCCGAAAAAATGACTTTTTTCTTTCGAATTTTAGAGCCCTCGCGTAAGAAATTTTTCAGACATTGAAGAGGAAAGAAAATGGACGATTTCCCTTATCGCCTTGTACTTCGGCCAGAAAGTGACAGCAAAACTAATTATTTTAACAACTCAATGTACCACTCACTCTTCACAAAAAATGACGAATTCACAATAGTCGCCGCCAGCGCATAATGGTAAATTTTGAAAAAACTAGACTGGGAAGATGGGCAGGGGGAGAGTATGCATATGGAGAAGTAATTATTTAGAAAAGCAAGGTTAGGAAAATTTCTCAGTTTCCTACTTTCCACAAATGCAATTCACTTCCATTCTCTTTTTATGCGTTTTTTGCACCTATGCAATGCAGAAAAAGGCATACTGACGAGGGGTTGTGTGTGTCTGTGTGTTCGTCTGCACCGATTTTTCATCTCGAGACCTACAAAAGCTACAGGGCTGAAGTTATGAAAACTTAATCTGTATGCGCGCACGGGCCCCCATCCCCAAAATAGGCGCTCCTACCCAACTGGTCCACGTACAGGCCCGTCAAAGTTTTTGACGGGCAAGCTGCTAACTCGGAAACCAGAAAAGCTGGAAAGCTGAAATTTTAAGATGTCCCCAATCCATGTAGGTATTAATGAGGTCAAACCCAGCCCTCGGGTATGGGTCTTTCTCGCGAACGAGACCGTAAAAATTTTTTCGAGTAAGTTGCTTGCTCAGTGAGCTGAAAAGCTAGAAGACTGGGATTTTTAGGGGATGTTTCCAGACAGTCGTGGTGGCCAGTCACAATTCTTTTTTAGCTAGAAGAATCTGCCGGAAAAAACAGTGCCGTCAGCGATAAAAATCTGCGGGGAACTATGCAAAAAACGCATCTTTGCAGCGGCAATCGGGGCGCTAGCCATATTTATTTACTTCACTTCAGGGTGGAATGCAGGTGCAAATCTCAGAAATGTCGAAGAACAGTCGGTGATAAATTCAGCCATTAAAATTCACATGCATGGCAGTTTGGAATGTACTGGATCAAGATAAATAAATGGCAACGCGCACCAGACTAGGCGGTGCGATCATGCGTTTTGTGCAATTCGGCCTATGGAACGATTGCCTGTTAATGATTTTCACTAC